GTCAGTTGGTAAATTGATTACAGATCTGGGATCTGATAGACTGATGGGGAATACATAAGATCCAGACAAGTTTTGTGGAGTTATAGATACTGGTACTTGTATACTAGATGTGGTATTGGGTGTGTGAGTCGTCTGTAATAGAATAAAACATAAACACATCAGTGTGGTACAATGAATTGGGTAAATTGCTTATAACCTGGCATCTGATAAACTGATGGGGAATACATAAGACCCAGACAAGTTTTCTGGAGCTAAAGATACTGGTACTTGTATACTAAATGCGATATTTGGTGTATGAGTCGTCTGTAATAGAATACGACATAAACAAATCATATACAGGGCTGGAATGGAAAAATCAGTTGTGGTTTGTAAAAAGTTTGATATCGAGAGCTCACAATGCATAAGAGGGCCTGGATAATTAAAGTATGAGCACAGCAAACTTTCTCACATTGTTTAGGAGCAAAATTTAAGGTGATTTCAATTCTGTATACAAGTTGTTTTTTTAATGTTTGTTAGAGAAAGGGGATAAACTTTAAACTAAGAAATTACATTTGCGGCGAGCATTTTCTTAATTATCCACTGCCCCCCCCCCCAAAAAAAGATCAAACCGCCACAACATAATACATTTACCTGTACAGAGTCAGATCTCATCTGTGTTGATATAGATGAGGATACAGCTGTTGAAGGAGTCATGCTTGTCACTATCTGCTGAGATGGCTGAGCTAATACTGTGCTGCTCACTGCATTGGATAACTCATCAATATTGATAGTAGACAATGATTCATTCATTTTTAGTTACTCTGCAATAAGAAATAATGAATGAGTTTTAAATATTAAGCACTTTTATCAAATATGACTAAATGTTGATTTAATTTTTCAATATTTTTTTTTAATTTAATCAATACTTATATATAATCCCACAATATTATTTCTTGGGTTGACGTCACCGCCAGAGTCTTGTATTAATCTGAGCCACAGGTGTAGATTATTGTCTGCTGACTTCAACCCAAGAGAAAATATTGTGGGAATATATTATATCACATGCCTATTTCACCAGTCCAAAAATGTGTGGAAA